CTGGCACCCCGACTGAGTACCTCCGTTGGCACCCCGAGTGGGTACCTCCGTTGAAGGATGCTCCTAGCGCTTCCCGAGGACTCCAAGCACTCTGGCAGACACCACAATCACCGAACCGGAGAAACAAATAAATTCTCCCAAGCATATGAATGCTGTAGACAGTTGAATAGGAAACCATATGAATAGGTTTACTCTCCTAGCAGTCAAACTGGAACAGCATACAATAAATCCTTCCCCCAATAATGAGACGACACTTCACTTTGAGGGTTAAAACAGGAACTCTCTGTACCGTCACATACAGTCTCTTTTATTCCCAATCCACAAACATAGTACAGCCCACAGGGCGTTACAAAACAACCAATCACATCACAGTTACATCCCACATATTCCCTCCCCTTATCCTGAGAGGAAACTCAATTATACATACAGTTAAAACATACCTTCTACCCAACTTTCATAACTCCAAAACCATACATCACATTCACATAAAATTACATATTCACAATCAATCCATTCAGGGGAACAACATATTCAAAAATGGCACAAATCAGACAAGGGGTTCAAAAGTTAGTAAAAAGTCCTTTGTGACTAAATGAAGCATGGCTTTCTGGCCCAAACCAGTTTCAGAGTCTTCTATCCTGGAGAGTAATTCAATTATCTCCCAGGACAGACACAAGACTCCATTAAGCACATGGTTGCAAAAAGACACAAAACACTTTAAAAATACATAAAGTCACATTTACACATAACACACAGACATTAACATATCCCCAGATAGCTGGGATCTGAGGCACATTATTAGTGAATGGCACTCAGACCACACAACAAGCCTTCTGCAGGGGAAATAAACGGTTTAACCTGCAGGGCCATAGTCCAAAGGAGAGGCGAAAGCAACCAGGCTTCTCCAGTTCACAGTGGCGCAGGTTGGTTTCGCCACACCTCCCTTACCACTAGACTAACAGGGTATCTGACCTCCCGCCGGGTCAGTGCCCTGGTTAGTCCAGCAACCCACCCACAAAACAGAAACAGCAGTACAGCCCACCCACAATAACTGGTTACTACACCTGGGTAGAGTGAGAATCTTTGTCCATGTCCAGGTGCCTCACCACGCACTGTGTGGGCAACTGTTAGGCTGCCTTGGTGGGTTGCTGAGTAGGCAGAGACCAGCGGTACTCTGCCCTGATGCCAGTGCTACCACGGAAGTAGCCTGGTGGGAGCCTGGTTGTGGGAGGGAGAGACCGACTGTCTCCCCTCTGGATACACCGCTCTGTGGCTTGGGAACAGGACCGACTGTCCCTACCCCTTGTGCTGTAAGTGCAGAGACTACAGTTCCATCTGCACTGTTGGGGGGTGTAACATCTCCCCTTGCTGGGTTAAGCTGCTGCTGGAGAGAGGGTGTAACAAGCTCCTCTCTCTGAACTGTAAACTGCCGCTGGGGAGAGGGGGTATCAGGCTCCTCTCCCTGACACTCTCTCTGCTGGTGGAGATGGGGACCAGCTGTCTCCCCTTTCATTATTTTGTCCTGTGGTTGGGGTGCGAGACTGACGGTCTCTGCTCCCTGCAGGACACTCTGCCGCTGGGGAGGAAGGATGGCACCTTCAGCTCCCTGGGGTACACACTGCCGTTGGGGAGGAAGGACTGCACCTTCAGCTCCCTGGGGTACACACTGCCGCTGGGGAGGAAGGACTGCACCTTCAGCTCCCTGGGGTACACACTGCCGCTGGGGAGGAAGGACTGCACCTTCAGCTCCCTGGGGTGCACACTGCTGCTGGGGAGGAAGGACTGCACCTTCAGCTCCCTGGGGTACATACTGCCACTGGAGATCTGGGCCGACCGCCCAGCATCCCTGTAGGGCCGGTTGAGAGACCGCCGTCCCATCTCCACCTGCCATCTGTGGGTCTTCCCAGGACCAGTCTGTGAGGTCCCTCAACATTTGCGAGTAAGGACCACCTGCTTCCGCACCTGGCAACTCCGGCTGCTGCTGGGGATCTGGGCCGGACCCATCTCCACCTGCCTGTTGTGGTTCCTCACAGGACAAGTCTATGAGGACCCCTACTTCAGGTTCCTGCGGCCGCCTCAGGGGGAGACGGCTAGCCTCCTCGGATGCAGCCTCTACTCGGCTGCTGTAACACTCCTTCCGCTGAGCATACTCTCTCTCTTTCGCCAGCCGGAATTCTCGGGCCAGCCTTGTGTTTCGCTCGGCCGTGACCTGGTTCCAGATCACCCGGCGTGCCTCCATGGGTAAATCATCCCCATACTGGGCCACTCGCTGCCTCACCTCGGCCATCCAATCATCGCCAGAGCCTTCCATACTTGTCTGCTCCAAGTCGCTGGATACCTCTGCTCCCAGGGTCGCTGCACGTGTGCTAGTGTTGCCCTCAATTTGTAACTCCACGAACGGTGTCTCTGAGCTGCTTTACCTTGCACTAGGACGCCATCCCACCGCTTGCCACCAATGTAACGGATCGCCTGGCACCCCGACTGGGTACCTCCGTTAAAGGATGCTCCTAGCGCTTCCTGAGGACTCCAAGCACTGCAGCAGACACCGCAACCACCGAACCGGAGAAGCATAGGAATCCTCTCAAGCATATGAATGCTGTAGACAGTTGAATAGGAACCATACGAATAGGTTTACTCTCCTAGCAGTCAAACTGGAACAGCATACAATAAATCCTTCCCCCAATAATGAGGCGACACTTCACTTTGAGGGTTAAGCAGGAACTCCCTGTACTGTCACATACAGTCTCTTTTATTCCCAATCCACAAACATAGTACAGCCCACAGGGCGTTACAAAACAACCAATCACATCACAGTTACATCCCACATATTCCCTCCCCTTATCCTGAGAGGAAACTCAATTATACATACAGTTAAAACATACTTTCTACCCAACTTTCATAACTCCAAAACCATGCATCACATTCAAATAAAATTACATATTCACAATCAATCCATTCAGGGGAACAACATATTCAAAAATGGCACAAATCAGACAAGGGGTTCAAAAGTTAGTAAAAAGTCCTTTGTGACTAAATGAAGCATGGCTTTCTGGCCCAAACCAGTTTCAGAGTCTTCTATCCTGGAGATAAGTAATTCAATTATCTCCCAGGACAGACACAAGACTCCATTAAGCACATGGTTGCAAAAGACACAAAACACTTTAAAATACATAAAGTCACATTTACACATAACACACAGACATTTCACATATTCCCAGATAGCTGGGATCTGAGTGCACATTATTAGATGAATGGCACTCAGATCACACAAATAAGCCTTTCTGCAGGGGAAATAAACGGTTTAACCTGCAGGGCCATAGTCCAAAGGGAGCAGGCGAGCAACCAGGCTTCTCCAGTTCACAGTGGCGAGGTTGGTTTCGCCACAAGGGGTACATCCAGAAACTGGGGGAATTTGTGTACTGTATAAGGGGATTATGAGTCAGGCTAAGGGGAGGAGATGTGTGGGAGGTTACTCGAGGATGATTGGACACTGCACTAATTACTGTAAATCCCTTTCTTGCATGGGAGCATGCTTTATAAGGCCACTGTGTGAATAAAAGTTTAGTTCTGCTCCTGATGCTGTGTATCGTCCAATCATTGGGATCGCTGTTGGGATATTGCTATTTTATTTTACCTGCTTGAAACCTTGCCGTATGGATTTATAAATACTTGTTCCTGAGCCTCACTGGGATCTTAAGCGGAGATAACTTGTGGAATACTAGATCTCCGTTACATTGGTTGGCAGCAGTGGGATCCAGACTCACAAAGGAACAAGGATTAATGGAGATTGATTACTCCACATTAAAGCAATCCACACTGAAAGATATTCTGGAAGCAAGAGGTATTCCAGCCAGCAACAAGACAAAAGCAACACTCATTTCGGAAGTAATGGCAGAACAGAGGAGGAGTCGGTCACCGAACAGAGGGATACAACAGATGGAGCGGAGCAGGCAGAGTTCCAAAGACAGCTCCAATTCAGACTGTCCTTTTATGGGGAGAACCCACCGATAGAAATCATCTCCAAGAGGATGACAGAGGTCTAGGAATTTATAATGCGGCAAAGAGGGCCACAAACACCAGAGAGAAGCACAGCAGTATCTACAATACAAGAGGGTAAGACAAAAATTCCTTACCAGGCATTTAAAATGTATGTAGAGGCCGAAGAGGATATAGACGCATTCCTCCAAGACTTTGAGAGACTGTGTATGCTGCATAAAATAAATAGGGAGGATTGGGTTCCCATCTTGGCAGGACGGTTAACAGGGAGAGCTGCTGAAGCCTACCGTACCATACCAGATACGGAAATCAGGGACTACAGCCGGGTAAAGGAAGTCATTCTGGCCCGATATGCTATTACCCCAGAAGCGTATCGGAGGCGCTTCAGGGAATTGAAAAAGGCGGATAAAGATTTGCATGCAGAATGGGCTTGCCGATTACAACGGGCAGCCCTCGGATGGGTGCAAGCGAACCAGGCACGGTCCATGGAGGACCTATTACAAATGCTGCTACTAGAACAGTTTTATGACGGGATACCCGCAGACCTGCAGGAGTGGGTGAGAGACCGTAACCCCACTTCTATTACAGACGCAGCTAAAAAGATTACATGGATGCGCGAAGGCAACAAAAGCCAGTAGTAATCAAAGCCACTGTAAGGCCAGTCGGGGGGGGAGGAGGGTGGGCTACCCCAACAACACAGTACCCCCACCACGACAACTACCAACCCCGCCAATGGCTGCCCCACCGAGATCTCGGCAGCCCAGCTCTGTGCAATGCCACCACTGCCAGAAGTGGGGACATTACAAGCGAGAATGCCCACAGCTCAGAGACCTGTCCACCTGGATCCGACCAGGACCACCACCACCACCGAGAGCAGCCGCCCACTACTACAAGGAGGAGAGCACGACCCCATATGGTGCGGCAATCCCAATCACAACTATAGAGCCGATCCAGTACAAGCCAATGCTGACAATCGGCAACACCACCGACAAACTGTGTATTTGGAGGGTAAAGCGGTCCAAGGACTACGTGACTCAGGAGCCACTATAACCCTGGTAAAAAGCCACCTGGTCTCGGATAAGGCCAGGACCAGCAAAACTGTAGCCGTCAGGGTAGCCGGGGGAGCAGTGTACCGGCTACCCACAGCAAGGGTTCATTTACATTGGGGAGCGGGGTCAGGAAACGTGGAAGTGGGGTTGATGCCGCAGTTACCAGCGGAAGTTTTGTTGGGGAATGATCTGGGGAGGTTCACGTCTGCTTTTGAGCCCCAGACACCCACCACAGGGGAAGCTCATCCTGTGGCCACCAGACAGCAGGCCTGCACCCAGGACCACAACACACTACCGGAGGTTCAGGTAAGAGACCCTTCCCCTTCCCTTAACTGTGTCCCCTGGGCCCCCCCCTAATGAATTCACAGCTGAAGTAATAACTGACCCTACGCTGCAAGTATATAGGGACAAGGTTATCACTGACTCACCCGGGGGGGAGGGAGAGAGATTTGTCTGGGACAAGCAGCTGTTATACAGGGAGTCTGACAAGCAGATAGCTGGGTCAGATCCGATAGTTATGAGACAATTAGTGGTGCCGCAGCGGTACCGAGCAGAGTTACTCCGGATAGCGCATGATATTCCGCTATCCGGACATTTAGGGGTCAGTCGCACTAGGTACAGACTGACCCAAAGTTTCTTTTGGCCAGGGATCAGCCAGGAAGTGCGCAAGTATTGCAGCACGTGCGATACGTGCCAGAGGGTAGGAAAAAGGGGAGACTGAAGAAAGGCGAAATTACACCTCCTACCCATAATTGAGGAACCCTTTAGCAGAATAGCCGTAGATTTGATAGGTCCCCTCAGACCCGCCAGCGCACCTATATGATCGGGGCGCCAGGGACTGTAGCTTTCAGGTCGGGCAGAAAGTGTTGATTTTAAAACCTGTCCGACATGACAAGTTACAGGCCGCCTGGCAGGGACTATATAGGGTGGTGGAACAGAGATGTGACACCACCTATATAATCGGTCCCTGCGCAGGAACTGGAGGGCGACGCATGCTCCATGTGAACATGATGAAACCCTACCAGGAACGCTCTGAGGAGGTAACCGCCATATGTGCGCCTAACTCTGACGAGTTTGACAGCCTACCTCTCCCAGACCTGCTGAGAGATGGTCAGTTGTCTGGAGATTTGGGGGGTGGTTGCACTGGGAGACCGACTGAGCCCACAGGAGCGTATCGAGGTACAACAGCTATTGGAGGAGAAGCGAGACATGTTCTCTAATGTACCTGGATACACCCTTCTGGCCACTCACCGGGTAGAGACCCCAGGGCAACTCCCCATGCAGCAGACCCCTTACCGCATACCTGAAGCAGTGAGGGAGAATATGCGCAAGGAGATCGATGAGATGCTCCAACTGGGGGCTACTGAGCCCTAGGATAGTCCCTGGGCTTCTCCTGTAGTGCTCGTACCAAAGCGAGACGGTACGACCCGCTTCTGCGTGGACTACAGGAGATTGAACGAGAAAACCGTGTCCGATGCCTATCCCATGCCTCGGATAGACTAACTACTAGACAGGATGGCCAGGGGCCAATACCTCACTACTATTGACTTGTGTAAGGGGTATTGGCAAATTCCCTTGGCCCCAGACGCCATCCCTAAGTCGGCCTTTGTCACCCCATTTGGCTTGTACCAGTTTAAGGTCATGCCATTTGGGATGAAAAACGCCCCGGCTACTTTCCAGCAGATGGTGGATTGACTCCTGGATGGGTTCCAAGACTATACCTGTGCCTACCTGGACGATATTGCCATTTTTAGCAATACGTGGCAGGAGCATCGGACCCATATAGGAGCGGTTGTGTGGGTTGTGGCAAGCAAAAGCCCGAGCCAGCCAAAGTAGAGGCTGTAGCACAGTGGCCCACCCCTAGGACTAAGACCCAAGTGTTAGTGTTTCTAGGGACGGCCGGGTATTATAGAAAGTTCGTCCCCAATTATAGTGCCCTGGCCAAACCCCTCACCGACCTGACCCGTAAAAACCTTCCCCGCCAAGTAACCTGGACCCCGGAGTGTGAGCAGGCATTCCAACATCTGAAAAATGCACTTATCAATGCCCTGTCTTGGCAGCTCCCAATCCAACTAAACAGTTTCTTGTTCACACAGACGCTTCTATGTTTGGATTGGGGGCAGTACTGAGCCAAGTCGGGGCCGATGGCGGAGAGCATCCCATGGCTTACATCAGTCGCAAGTTACTACCCAGAGAAGTAAGCTACGCCGCCATCGAGAAGGAATGCCTGGCTGTGGTGTGGGCCGTAAAGAAACTGCAGCCGCATTTGTATGGACAGCCCTTTTCCTTGCTCACAGATCACAACCCGTTGGTATGGCTGAACCGGGTGGCTGGGGACAATGCCAGACTGCTGCGCTGGAGCTTGGCGCTGCAGCCCTTTGACTTTAACATTCAGTACCGCCCGGGCAAACAGAATGGGAATGCTGACGGGTTGTCGGAATACTAGATCTCCGCTACACATATCATTGCCAAATTGATAGAGGCAAAGTGAGATCAGGGAAGGAGTATTGGGATACTTTGGTGTAGGTACAACATTAGAGGCAGCAGGTCCATATTAATATTATTGACATATATATATATATGACCTATCCTGGAAATGTAAGACAGGGTCCAAGTTTTCAGATCCACAAAAAAAGTGTCCAGCATGTGCTGAAAATTAAGTTGGTAATGGCGCTGCAGATTCCTCGGATTCCAAATTCTCAGGTATTTAATGTGGTTTGCGCACCACATAAATGTGAATTGACTTGGTTTGCTTCTCTATCAAGCAGAGAGATGTTTAGTGCATCAAATTTTTCCAAATTCAATTTGAAATTGCTCAAGTGTTCCATATACATCCAGTTCATGAAGAATGTTCTGGATGGTAATAAGTGGTTGCTCAACACAAAACAGAAGGTCGTTCATCCACAAATGCCTGTGATTCCCAAGCCTTGTACTGATGGGTTGTATTTAAATGCCTCCAGAAGGGGTTCTAGTGTCAGAACAAGGAGAATGGGGGACAGCGGACAGCCTTGGCGTGTTCCATTTGATATCAAGATTGGGTCCGTGAGTCCCAGATTAACATAAACTCTCGGCATAGTTGTAGAGTATAGTGCCCTGATCCAGGAGCAGAAATGCTCTCTGAAACTCACCTCATGACGTGCTAGGAGTATAAAACACCACTCAGTCAAAGGCTTTTTCAGTGCCTGTGGATAGGATCGGCAAGCGGCGCCTCTGTGACCGAGTGAAATTAATGACATAATAAGATAAGATAGTTTTATCTTTTGCCTCTCTGCCAGGGAAGCTACCACTTTGACCAGGGTGGAGCAATGTTGGCAACAAGATCTTCACGTTGCAATTAAAAAGGGAGATGGGCCTATAAATTAAACATATCTCCAGGTCTTTCCCTTCCTTAGAGAAGATCGAACTTAGACATAGGAGTCATCCAGGGATCTAATTCAAGTGTCCATCTTATGCTCCCAGTGATCTACTGTCACAGGTACATATATTACCAATTCTCCAAGGATATGCAAACTTTTGAGCACAGTTGTCTAACCTTCAAATATACCATATGCTGTAGATCAAAGAATTAGTGAATAAATGTGTTAACTATAACCTTTCCAAATGTAAAGAAGTTCAGTTTTGAACATCCTTTAAAAAAAAAAAAAACAGTGTCATATAGTGCAGACAAAACAGTTATTGCATAAATGAATGAATGAGTTAGTCAAGACCTATTATTATATATTATATTCTAAGAACAGCCTGAAAAGGGGAGAAAAAAAAATATTAATTAATTTCACGAGACCTTTGAAGATAATTGAAAACCCCACATATATCTTATATTGTTGTTTCATAATCCTCAAGACTGGTGCATAAAATTTTCTTCGACTCTTTGTGTGGAAGAATAAATCTGGAAAAACCTCAATTTCCTTAAATATAGGGTCCTCTAGATTTTGTTCCCTGTCGGCTTTGGAACCCTCTCTTTAAACTGAAAAAACAAGAAGTTTGCTATTACATCTTTAGGCAGATGGTCCGAAATTGCTCTTGGTTTGTAAAGACGGTGAACCCTCTCAACCTATGCTTTGTCTTTTACAACCGTCAGTCCCATCTTCTCAAAGAACCCTGACAGACAGTCTTGTAGTTTTTCTATAGTATAGAATTCTGGTATGTTCCTGAATCTTAAATTATTTCTTCTTCCTCTATCTTCCATATTACCCATTTTATCCTCTAAACCTATCTTTTGTTGCATGTTAAAAGTAGTTATTTACTAACCTACAGTTGTTTTCTAATTCTCTTCAATGTCTTTAGGTTTTTTGTTAGTAAATGAATTAAGTGTTTGATATCTGTTAAGGAATATACAATTAATTGTTTCATATTACCCATTTGCTTATCAATATAGCTCAATATATTTCTGGTCTCTATTAGCTTGAGGGTAGAAAAAAGTAGACATTCTCTTTTCTTGTTTTCCCTCTTTTTGTCTCTCATCAATGGGCCTCTTTTAAATGACATATTGTGTCACCTTTTTCTTTGTTACTGTTACCTGAATTTCTTATTGTTTCTTTTTCCTTTCTTCTCCCTTCTCCTCCAAAACTATACTAACACTTTAGCGTTTATTTGACAACAGCCCAAGAGCTCTATATCAAAAACTCTTCAGATTAGAGGAACACTGTAGGGTGAGGAACAAAAACATGTATTCCTGACCCTATAGTGTTTAACCCACCATTTAGGTGGCTTGCCCCCCACTTAGCCCCCTGAAAATTAAATTAAATCTCACCTTATTTTCAGCGCCGCGTAGGTCTGCCGATGCTGGCCCCGCCCCCATGGCGACATCATCAAAATTGCCAATTTTTAGTTAATCTAATGCTTTCCCATGGAGAAAGCATTGGATTGGCTAAAATTGGCAAGGGGGTGGGTCCAAATGCCATTTTGGCCAATCAGCAGAGCGTGGGGACGCTGAACGGCAGTGCTGCCTGCTGTGCAGCACTGCCCCAGGAAGCACCTTCAGTGGCCATCTGAGGAGTGGCCACTTGGAGGTGTCCCTAGGGGCAAAACAGATTTGTTTTCCTGGCACTGGAGAGTCCCTTTAAGTGTATCTATTTAGAACCTCTGCAGGATACATTACAAACTCTACAGTGTATCTAGATATATCATGTAAATATACTCTGCACAGTTGTACTTCTGCATATCGATCTCAACCAGTGTCATAAGGAGAGAGGCTGCCCTACTATGTTCCTGCCTATTTCTAACAGGAATTAGTATCTCTAGTTCTAGTTTTCATCACCTTTATATGAAACTTATTGCCAGGTTATATATTAACCTATAGCAGCATCTACAATTCATATTTCCTGGTGGGGTTCTTATACATATAGAGTCATATTTGATAAAGCTCTTTTTATCATTATTTACCTCATACCAGTATACTTTGTGTAGCTGCTCTTTTATCTATTTAGACATAGGAGCTGACCTTATAAGGTTGTTATTAATTTTACTCTATATTACTTTATTGTAGGATCTCTCTATACATATCTATCTAGCTACAAGTCTATACCTTTATATAGATATATTATATACGATCACTGCTCTTATCTCTAGGATATACAGTGTTTTCACTTCTTATGAATTATTGTATAACGTTTTGCTTTTTGTTTTATCTAAATTAGGGTTAAGCCCTGAGAGATCCCTGGAGTCTCTCACTGGTGCAAAGGACAATCGGAGTCACTTGGACACAATTATTTCATATTGTGTCATAAGTTGTCTCCATTGTTTGTCCTATCTCTGTATATACTACTCAGAAGTTATAATTTCCAGGTTTTATAGTAGACTCTTGCTCAGCTATACTCTGTCTGCATGGTTACAAATTGCAAACCATTCGGAAGAAGATCAAATTGATTCCAAACAAGAATCTTGTATCTCTCAGGTCAGTAGCTCGTTTAGTAGGCCTGTGGGTTAAAGATATCACAAAAAAAATTTGATTAAAGTAGCTACCTCAGAAAATGAGAGACTGCTACTTATTAAAAGTAAAAATAAATAATAAGGGACTCCAAATATATATACAAATATTTATTTAATCTTTACTATATAAAAAATATAAAACCTCATCATGTCATGTGGTAAGGAAATGCTTAAATGTAAATGGTAATTGCCCATACAAAGTGACTTCACAACTTTCTAATATCGCTTTATTCTATCCCATCTTTTTTTTTTTTTTAAAGCAGGTATCAGACAACTCTTATAGAAATCTCTTAGATTTACATGGTTGTATCATCATCCCACTGTTTTGTAATATCAAAAGAAATCAAATAAGAATAAAATACCTATTAAGAATATTAGACAAATACTATTTATCCTATTCTAAGCCTCGATACCTGTTTATTACCTTTATTGCGACCCCTATCCCCGTCCGTCAGTCAGTCCGCCTGTCGGTACCTCTGCAGGGATATCAAAAAAAACTACTTCTAGTCCCCCATAAGCTATGCATTCCTCTGGGAATTCAGTAAACCAAGGTTGCCATATCTTATAGAATCCTTCTAGGTTTAACTGAGAAATGGAGTAACCTTTTTCCATCTTAGCTATATGGTCGATCTGTTTTTTAATCTCACCCTAACTTATATGACTTAGAATTTTCCAGTTGCAAGCAATTATAAGCTTCATAGCCATAAAAATGGCTTCATCTTAAATAACTCCAGGAGATAGCTTTGCAGATCTGTTTGTTTGATTTTTCCAGATATGCCTGTTATGCAAATATTTTTTCTGTGCACTCTATCCTCACTATCAGTTATTTTTGACCCAAGGGTTACAACAGTCTGCTTTAATTCATAAATCTGTGTATTAGCCACTTTTAGTTTGAATTCTAGGTGCTCTATTTGTTCCTCGTTTGCTTTTGTCCTACCTCCAAGTGACTCCAACCTTGCATTAAATTCACCAAAGAATTGATCCAATAACTTTGTAAATTGGTTCAATAGGGCTTCCAGACAAAGCTGGACATATTCCTGTGTTAATTGAGTACCTCTAACTGGATCCCCCTCCACTTGAGTGTATATACCCTCAGATTCACCATCACTCTGGAGAGTCGATTCGTGTGCAGGAGATTTGCATAAATTCTCCTGTTTTTTATAAGTTTGAGGGGAGAATAATGAGGCTATTTTCTTTTCTTTTTCTTTGCCATAATCAGAGTAATCTTTAAAGGACCACTATAGGCACCCAGACCACTTTAGCTCAATGAAGTGGTCTGGGTGCCAGGTCCATCTAGGGTTAATCCTGAGGCTGTAAACATAGCAGTTTCAAAGAAACTGCTATGCTTACACTAGGGTTAATCCAGCTTCTAGTGGCTGTCTCACTGACAGCCGCTAGAGGAGCTTCCGCGCTTCTCACTGTGAAAATCACAGTGAGAAGATGCTGACGTCTTTTGGAAAGCATTTAGAAATGCTTTCCTATGGACTGTCTGAATGCGCGCGCAGCTCTTGCCACGCATGCGCATTCAGCGCTGACGTCGGGAGGAGGAGGAGAGTTCCCCAGCGCCAAGCTCCCCGGCGCTGGAGAAAGGTAAGTGTTTAACCCCTTCAGCCCAGTGGGAGTGGGACCTTGAGGGTGTGGGGATCCTAAAGACCCTATAGTGCCAGGAAAACAAGTTTGTTTTCCTGGCACTATAGTGGTCCTTTAAGATTTTCCCCTAGTATACTTTACTATGTCAATGGAAATTTGCTATGTCTGATATGTCAATAAAACCAGCTAAGTTTAATTTCTAATACTGACTAGGACCAAAACAGCACCTTTCTTTGATATTATCAGCAGGCAAAAGAAAAAAACAATTTTAAAATAAAAAACTAAGTTTTTTATTTCCCATAATGAGTAGTTATATAACCTTATCTGGTG